GACCATGAATTTAACATTTTGAATGCAGCATCTAGAGTTTCAAATAAAGCTTCTTTCAGAACATGCACTGGACTCCGCAGTTCCTCCGTATTTTCTCCGGAGGAGGCGCATTTATGAACGCAAATGTCAAAGTGAGATGCTCCATAGTTTCTGCAGACTTTATCATCCCGACCTCCAAGTATAAAGTCCGTAGAAATCCAGGAGAAGTTGATGTCTGAACACAGCAGGTGCTTCTAAAACGCAACAGGTGCAAAAATGGGAAAACAAATAGGAAACTAATATCTCTCAGTGAAAAGGCGTCATCATACACTTAGAGGACAACGGCAAAGATGCCAAGAGAATTTTTGGTGATGAGAGCCTACGACAGTGTCAGGGTGTTGTAAACACGATCACGTGTTCTCGGCAGCAGAGTTATTACGTCATCTCCTGCTTCTGTCTGCTGCACCCGGCTGCTCCACCTCTCGTCTGGATAATGCGGAGGATTTGATGCTGTTGCCAAAGTGCCTGTGCAGCGAATCGCTATGTTGTACGTATGAAAGGCAGACTACGGGTAAACTCCATAGCCAATTCTCTGGATTTTAAACGGCTTAAGTGTCAGTCCCATAAAATTGGTCTTTAAGTTTTGTCCTATTGTGTCCCATTTGGAAATTTGATCTGTCCGTAAAATGTGCACAGCATGCAGGCTCTCTGTCGCTCTCTCAACCTCACAACTACAGTATTTCTTAAAGCCGCACTGGCTAATGCAACACTGTCTGTGGTCAGAAGCTCTCTCAGATCCCTCTGCTGCTCTGTTAATGTGACCGAGCAAGAAAAGCATGACAAACCAGTAAAGCTGGATGGAGGCTCGAGACAATATTCCGCTGATGGTCAACTTCTTTTTTTCTATTTTTGTTCTGTTCTCTATTTTTCAAGGAGGCCCTGATCACAATGCAAATACACAGTACCTGAGAAAGTAATTCAGGAATGTAAATAGAACTGTTATGCAAAACGCTAAAATATTCCCATCATCACTGGCCTACCAAGTAGACTACATGGCAATATAGACACTGCATCGTTCTTGAATTGTGCAGGACAATTCAAACTGTCGTTATTTCACACAATCCTTTTACTAAAGAAAGACTGACAGGGTTTTCTTTCTTGGTTATGTTTTAAAAGATTGATCAAACAATCTTTGCTCAGACAAGTCTTTAATAATTTGTCTATTTCTGTTCTATTTAAACAATAATATTGATGAAAAGGTCTTTACAGTATCTAAACAACAGAAAGCTAAAACCACCTGATCAAATTGATCAAAAATGCTGTGGACCAGCAGATTAAACTGGGTTCAGCTCCAGATGCATCTGTACCAGCAAGTAAACTTATAGAAGTGAATCTTAAATTGGTGCATTTAACCCAACGGACAACCACAGAGTTCATTGCTCCATACAAATGTAACTCCGCTTGGATGTTGACTGAAAGAAATGGCCGATACCAGGGTCACTCTGTATTGATCAGATCAAAAATCATCATTATTATTGATCAAACATTAATGGATAACAATAAACTATATCACAGGAATTAGAAAGGAGACTACAGTTTGTTGATTACCAGGTCCCAGTCCCAGAGTCCCAGGGTCCCAGGAGCAGGGGTGCACTGATTGGTCTGGTAACGAGTGTTTTCTAGGGACACAAGCTAATGAGACCTGAGACTTGGACTAATGGCCAGCAGAAACCTGGGGGCCTGCTCCAGCACTCAGAAAATGATATTAGATGAGGAGGAGGAAGAACAAAGCAATGGTGCAGTCACAGAGAAAAGCTGTGCGAGGGTGAAAAGATCCAGGATTTGATCTCTACTCTTCTTTTTTGTTTTCCTTTGTTTCACATATATTTGTGGCACTACTCCTGCGAACAACTAAGTGCAACACTGTTGATGCCTTCCATAAGAGAGCACGACGTCCGCAGTTATACTCATGTTTAAATGAGTTCAGGGGAGGAAATCAATACTAGTAGTGTTACTACTATTACAAACAACAGTGTGCAGATTTATCGATCATCTATCAGTAGAGGACGGTCTGGTGAAGTTCCCCTATGCACCAATCATTAGCTGTAGTGACCCTTTGGTCTAAATACTGCAATCTGAAAAATTCCCCAAATAAATCAATACTAACAACATTCTCCAGCATTTAAAAAAAATATATGTTTGGTATTCTTGGTCAAAACAAAAGATTAGTCTTTTCTAACATAGACCATAAATAGTTTTTTGTCAATAATCATCTAATCTCAGCTCCAGATATGATCAAACATTTTAGAATTGAAACATTGAAAACAATGTGTGAGTAGTCCTCTGCATATTGTGGACAATGAAAAAACTGGCATCAAATGTTGCAATATTATTGGAAAGCTATGTATTTCTAGTTTGACAAGGAAGATCACAAGCGTGTGCACGCACATCCACACACACAATAAGTAGAAAAGAGGAAATGAAGGGATGATACTGAACATAAAGAGACGAAATACAGAGAGCAATGAGTGTGACAGAGGGAGAGCTGAAGACAAAGAGGAGGCAGGGAATTAACACAGCCTATTCTCACAGGGGGGCTGAGACCTAGAACAGTAAGTAAACCAAGCAGAAGCCTGCAGGGCAGCTGTGGTCCCCTGGTACACCACAACTTCTGGCACAAAGCCTGTCTGCTCAGAATGGAAACACTCGGAGGAGTCGGCACAGAGGCGCTGCTACTGTCTGGAGGGCAGGAGGAAGACATGACGCTCTGCACTGAGCTGCTGCATCAACAGTGCTAACACGGAATACAAACAGAGCCGCCACACGATCACAGCCAAGAACTCTGCCTGGAGTGGGACGGCAGGTATATGAAAGTTTACTGAGCAACCACTACCATACTGATGCTCAGAAATCCTGACATACAGGAGAAAGTGAGAAAAGCCTTTTTATCCATGTGCTCTATGGTTCTGAAGCAACAACAGATAAAAAATCAGATAAAAAAAATACTGAGTTTGGCTAAAACTTAAGTGGCTGATTGTGATGAAGGCTTTTGTCCAGTTTGCTTTGTGGGTATGGACATCAGTACCAGCACCAGTATGGAAAAAATCCAACTGAGACCAATTGCAACAGAGTTAACACCTAACCTCTGACAACAAGCGATCAATTGGCAGAGTGAATAGCAATAGACATAGATGCACATTATTTGCACAGCTGAAGTTCCACTCAGCAGAAACACTGGCATCAACAAAGGCACACTGCACTTGCTTTTGTGAGTGAAGAGAAAAGTGTCTTATCCGAAGACAGTTATTTTTATTCATTTGGATTCTGCTTTCATTCACAAGTAACATTCTGGTTGAGACATGCAGAATGAAAGAATTCTGGGTGGAAGCAACAACCTACAGATGACATGAACAGCAGAAGATACAAAATGGTGATTATAGTCTCTGACATATGAGAATGTTGCAGACTGCTGATCTATTTAACAGACAATTTGATGCAAACATTGAGGGACGTGATTCAGATTTTGAAAACTTGCTTTGTTATTGAGCAATTTTACACAGCAGCACTTTACTTCACATCATCATCTCATTGTCTACCAAGAGCAAATAACAGCGTGCAGAGAGCACAACAATCAGACATCAGACATGTTTCAGGTCAGCCTTTTGACAATGAATGTAAAAAAATAATATTATCTGCAGTTTGAAAATGTCATTTAAAACTAAAGATTACAGCTCTGCAAGGCTGCACATTAATGTGTGCACAGAATCCATCCAGAGAAAGCATAAGAGCCAGAACAAGACCGATAAATCTGACACACAACAACCATGTCAAATATTGGCTTGTCACAGTTAAATCAGTACATGTGTTGGATGAGGAGTAAGAAGAAAATCGGTACAGTGGATTTGTTTCAGGTTATTTAGAACCTGGGTCTCGTTATATATTTTGTCCGACATAACTGAGACTTTTATGTTATGAATACCCATTATGTTTCACAATCTGTACCTCTTACAATCTAACTTAAAGGGTGCCTTGTCAAAAAATAAAAAAAGTTGGATGATACATGATACATGGGTGGCTAGGGGGTAGAGGGGGTAGAGCGGTTGTCCTCCAACCAGAAGGTCAGAAGTTCGATCCCTAGTCTTCCCATCTGCATGCCAAAGAGTCCTTGGGCAAGATACTGAACCCCAAAACTGCCCAATAGAACAACAAAAAGTGCTAGCTATAGAAGCACTGTATGTATGAATGTGTGTGTGAATGGGTGAATGGAAAACTGTAGTGTAAAGTGCTTTGAGTGGTCTTCAAGACTAGAAAAGCGCTATATAAATACTACCATTTACCATTTACATGTGTTAAAACTTTAAAGGTTCAGTGTGTAGAATTTAGTGAAACCGGGGTTCGAAGTTGCATGTTGTGGCTGAAGACCCCTTCACCTCACCCTCCTCTTTTAAACATGAAAGCGAACCTGTGGTAGCCTTCAGTTGTCGTAAAACTCAAAAGGTGTTTCGTTTGTCCAGTCTGGACTGATGTAAAAAAACATGGCGGCCTCCATAGAGAGGACCCGCTCCTGATGTAAATATAAAGATTGTTTATATAGAATGCACCCATTCTATTGTAAAGTTTGTACAATTTAGATGATCACACACTAGTGAAAACATCACTAGGATTATTTTATATACAATTTCAATTTAGATACCTTTCACCTAAATCTAACACACTGGACCTTTAATATCAGCCATAATATTATAACTAAATTATATTCAACACAGATATCGGATTTGATTTACTCTCAACCACAGTACATGTGCCCTGAAAGATTCAAGCAAGGTGGTTTTGGGGTAAATTTACATTTAGATTTAAATTGAGTGTGATCAGATTCAAATAAATAAGACTTCAACTATTATTTGACTTAATTGACTGTGGAGGAGGACACTCTTCCCTCCTCAAGAAGACACAATTGTATAACAATTTCTACAGCAACTCCATGATTCCTTTAATGCAATAAAAGAAATGTTGACACTTACCAATTTTCTGGTTGAAAATTTTGTCAAATGTCAGTTCATCTCTCTCTTCCAGGTACTTCTGCATCACACTGCGAATACTGTGAACACAGGGGGGGGGGAGAAGACGTGTATTAATACACACCATCATCAACAGCTCACTCAAAGCCAGATGCAACAATAAGAGACTGTCAAAAATAAAAATTCAGAGTGGCCAGTCCCGTCCTACTCCACCTCCTATGAGTGATCCTGGCCTCGGTTTAGGACTTGCCCTGCCACCTGTCCCCTGACAGAATACAATGGTGGGGAGGAAAGAGGGGACACATGGGAGGCTGCAGGGAACCTGGAGAGATACATGCTACCCTGGGAACAGGTGTTAATGAGAATGAGAGTAGAGAGAATGAATCAATTAGCACCCCCTCCATGGGCTCATTAACACCACACCAGCACCCAGCACACATGAGAGGCGGGTGCCCAGGCTTCACCTACAAACACCTGTGCAGGAACGCACTGGGCATGTGTCAGCAAGAAGAAGCCCTGGCACCTCGTGGATATGCCATCTTATTTCCACTGTTTACATTTTAATAAAGCTAACTTCCATGCCCCCATAGCTGGGTACTATTGTTTATTGTTGCACCAGGAGCCATACAACTTTACTAACCAGCAGCCACAATTAAGTTTGAATTAAATGGAAATAAAAGCAGAGGAGCATCTCCTGAAAAAGATGTTAGCAACTTCACTGAGCACTGATGCTATCTAGAGTGTGTGAAAGACTTCTTACACTGCGGCATTAGGCTTTAATGCACAGCAGTTTGCAACATGCACAAGTCATAACAACACGCTTATGATCCATCAGTGAACACTACTGAGCATTTTGAGATTCAAATGGCATTTCTCTTTGTACAGCTGCTCAGTTATAAAAAACAATGGGTCTCAATGGGCTTCAAGTCTTTAATGTGCCATAAAACTATTCTCTCTCCAAATGTCATCATAATGAGCTTATGAGCACCCCATACTGAGCATTTGCTCTACCAATGCAGTTTATACTATAAACAGTGAGTGAGATGTAAATACCTTGTCTGTGGGATAGGCTGTACCACTTAATGCAGTTATCGATAAGAAAAGTCAGTCGACAAAGAATTACGAATGATCGGCAGTCTTTGTAACAACACTAGGAAGATTTTATACCTAAAAATAACGGCTTCAAAACTATTCTGATGATACGCAGACTAATAATTGGGGCGAATGTCATGTCGGTCATTGCCACACTGCTCCTTGGATGCCTGGAAATGCACTTTACAACTGCACTGTTCTGGAACCTGCTCTACAACACATGTCACACTAACAACCAGAGACGCAGCTAGCAGCTAGCAATAAGAGACAACTCGCTTGCCATTCTCAGTGTGAACATCATGGCAGAGCCCCAGAAGAAACCAAAAACGACATTGTCAGAGAAAACAAAGAAGAGAAACCAAATCAGAGTGAAAATCGAGGCATATTTCAATATTACAAAGAGGCCAAAGGATGCAGGGCAATAACTTTTGTTTGTTTGCTATGTCTTGTGCTGCTGTGCTTGCTTGACATTGGGCTGTGTAAGTGAAGCTGTCGACTCTATAACAAATCATCAGAAGCCAGGTAATCCCATTTGGATAAAGGTTTAGCTGTCAAGTTAGTCAAACTTCAATGTGATTTAATGTGCACATGCACGGACACTGATCATTACATCAGCTGCTAGTTGGCTGTGTGGGCTTGTTAGTGTTTATGCTAATGTTCTACTCGACGAGTCAGCTTGTCAACAAATGTGTACAGCTCTGTGTGTGGTGAGGCTCAGACTACAGTTAATATTTATGACATTAAATTGCCCATGCAATCTGTAGGGGGAGCCCTAGTATAGCCAAGAACAAATCTTGCATTGTGTTGCTTTAAAACAGTGGAGGGTGATGTGTACCTGAACCTGTGTAGATTGTGGGTAACATATTTTCTTCTATTTGCTGTATAATATAATTAGAGATCATCAGACCAGTGCTCTTACTGCAGTGGGTTTTGTGAATGCAACCTGGCCCCATGCATGCTGACTTCTATAGGGGGTGGAATGAACAGTGGATGAGACATTTCTACAGTTACAGGAACAAGAACCAAGGAAGTAAACACTTCCTCTTTTCGTTAGCAGAGGCCTGTTTGTGTGCTCCACTGAATCATTCAAGACTGTGGATGATTTTTTTGAAACCTCACCACTTACAATGCTGCATTACGACCACTGCTAATATATACTGTGAAAGTCACGCTTTATTAGGCAGAATAACTGTGTCAGGAGAAGCATTTTCCATTACACCATGGATGGTTTTTGAGGTTAAGGGAGTGAGAATATCTCCAGTCGGTGAACCTACATCATGTTTGTTGTACAGACACTGCGAGTGATGATGCTTCTGATTAAAAATATTTTAATAATATTTTTCAATCATGTACTATTCATTCAGTCAGGAAGAGCCGATGTGAGAACACAGCAGGAGATCCTACAGGAGTCACCACAAGCAAGTGGTGGTGTTTCTAAAGTGACAGATTCAAAAAGGGAAAAAAGAAAACAAATATTTCCAGATGAAAATAATGTAGAAGACACTATGATGTAGACAGAGTTTACAGGGCTGACGCCGGTGTCAATGTGCATAAGACAAAAACGTGATGTAAGCAGAAGAGTAAATACATTAAGTCCTGCCTCTACCTGTTGCACCACCCCTCACCTTAATGCTTTAGAGATTTTTGTTGTGAACTCATCTAAGCACAGAACTTACTTCTGCTGGTATGCATGTGTGAAAGGCAAACTGCAGAGAAAGTCCAGACTCGATTCTCCAGAGATCAAATCCGAAAACCAATTAAGCGTTCTGTCACCATGCTAATATAATGGGGGTAAATGGTTCAAATATTTGTGCTCTGAAAGCACTAAAAAAAAAATTTGAATACCTCAACAACAACCATGTTACCGTGAAACACTCACGGACCTTGATGTGTCCTTGCTTTTCACCAACGCAAACCTTAGTTAGTAACAATAGCAGCATTACACACCACCATCAGCTTACGGGAGCAGATGACCGCAGCAGAACAGAAAACAAAGGGGCTCCTGCTGTGACAATGCAGTGTGAGTGACAAGATGACTACTGGCACATAGTGGTAAATAAGGCAATATTATCCACAGGGGATTGCCGTGACGCTGACAGCTTATGAGTGGTGGGCTGTCACTAGAGTATGAATGTTGCTGGTATTCATTTGCTACATTATTAAGCAGCGTGGAGTCTCATAGAAAGATGGGTGAGATTAGACAATAACCAACAAAGTGCAAAGTGACATTATCCCCCCCCAAAAAAATGTAAATGTCACGCACACCAACAGGTTGTACAGTGCTATGTTGAAGTATTTTAGACTCTGTGGCTTCAGTGCAACAAGGTAAACTGCACAAAGCTCCAGTTATTCCCTTCAGCGTAGTCCTGATTTCTATGTCCTGTTGCTCAACCCTAGCTCCAGTCTATTGTTAACATACCATCAAAGAAGGTGGCACTCTTCTACAAGCTAGTCTCACCCTAAACTAACCACACATGTTTTAGATGATCAACTCAACACTCATATTGCTTCATGTTGGTTCTGGTGGTTCTTTGCTTTTTCAGGAGTCAACGCAACAGTTTTGTCCTTGGGCTAAAGGACTTCGTGAAGTATCTGTGACGTTGCTTTGTACATTCATATAATAACATTTGGCTCTGAGCATTGGCAATGAACATTTCCACTGTTTTCTAATGTTCTATAAACAAAAAATAACTGAAGAACAATTACAGTCTGTGTCTGCCTTGCAAATCACCGGCAAGCTGGGAGAGATACCCGGAAATGTAGTATTTTCTCAATCAATAAGGATTTAAAAATTACAATAATGATTGTAATATCTTTGTTCAATATTGTTTCAATGTAGTATGGTTATGATAATCCCATATTTTGACATCATTTCATGTTACATCCACCTCCTCTTTAATGCAGAGATGTTACTTAACTGCTCCTCTAATAAAGCATCCTGGCAGGGTTGCATACAGACCACTGCTAGAAGCTTGAAACAGTGTCCTTTTGAGTTATACTTGAAATAATGCTGAGTATCCAAGCTTTTTAATTTCCAGGGAGGAATGGCAAATGTCATTGATTCATCTACATTAGCATAGATGTTACTTGGATATTATAGGTTTGTCAGCATGTAGAATTAAGTGAGGTAGAGATAAAGTTGCATGTTGCAGCTGAATACTCCTCATCTCACCCTCCCCCTTCCCAAAAATGAAAGAGAACCTGTGGTGAACTTTAGTTGTATTGAAAAAGGAAAATATTTTAGTTTGTCCAGTTTAGATGATAGTAAAAAACATGGTGGCCTCCACCTTTAAATATAAAGGGCCGATTCGATGGTAAAGAAAATTCATTCATACAATTTAGATGAAACACACCAGTGAAAATATCACTAGGATTATTTCATATTCAATTTCTGCCAAACCTCCCTTTCAGCTAAATCTTACACACTGGACCTTTAAGTAACTGCAAGCATTAGCATTGGTTTATTTAAGATCTCAACAATGTTATTTTAATGACATCCCCAGCAACTTTTTGTCGCGTCTGTTTACATCGAGGACTACTTATGGAGTGGCCGGTTCCCACGACGACTACCGATGATGTAATGGCTTCTAATTTCAACCACTAACCCTTGTAACTCTGTTTCAAGAGGCAAGATAACCCTTGAAAACAAGGGGTAGAGGAAGGGAGAAGGGGTGAAATGGGATTGGGCCTAAATGCACCTTGGGCACGTTTAAAGAGATTGTGCTTTCCAGTCATTCATCCCTAAGGGGGACTTCGAGGGAGCTGAAAGAATGTACCAGCAAAGTTGATGTCAGTGGTCATGGAAGTTAGGAAACAGGAAAACATTCTAAAGTGTCCTTTAGCTAGACATGCGGTGAGACTACCAGTGAGATGTGGTGACATTGCCCTGTGCCAGTACCCACTAAATGCTCACTATGTGGTTGGATACACACATGTTCCATTAGAACATGCACTACACCTTCCTTTTGGCTGAAGTTACATAATGCCT